TCAAAAAATTTGTAGTATTATAGTTCTAAAAATTATACGTTTATTGTAAAAATTTTTAAACGCTTTGAATTATAAAACGTACAAGAACGAGAAAAAAAACTGAAAAATAAAAATGATCCAATATTTATTAATAAATTTCTTCACAATAATTCTAACAGACGTTATTTTATCTAAATAAAATTCCTGTAAATTCTTATTCTCTAAATAATTGTGACGTCAAAAATATATTCTCTATCATTATGAAATAACATGATTTATGTAACTCATCAGCAAATTAAAAATCCACTAACATTAAATAATAGATTTAATATTTTGAAAAATTAAAAAAAATGGAACGGAAATTTTGACTATAATCAAATATAGCTTGAAGTGTTTGTATTTATACTAAGAATATTGGAGAATTTTTTAATAAAAATTAAAAATGTCGATCTTGACGAAAATCGACTTTGTTTATTTCAATCAGATTTTTCAAGTAGAAACAAAAAAGTTTTTCTCATATTTTTTTCCTAATAGAGAATTTCAAGACAAACAATTTAATGTGGCTATATTTTGTTTTTCAATAATTTAAACAAAAATTATGTCCAACTAACTAAACGTTTGTAAAATAAAATTAATTAAAAATATTTAAAAAATTCATATGTAGGAAAAAACGGAGATAAAAATGTAAAAATAACTGAACACATGTATTTTAATCTGAGGAATATATTAAAAAATCAGTAAAAAATAAGAATCAAAGACGAAGCCCGTCCGATTTGGCGTAGAATGCCCCATATATGTATATACCAGGAGTTCAAAGTGTTATAAATTTTTATCTCGGAAACACATTATTGAGAAAAATTGTTCAGACAAAAGTTGTATGGTTCAAAAAGATCTATTTACTGGTCTTATCAGTGTGACTTTGGATGGCATTGCCAAGTTCACGTCGAATTTTTATAAATGGAACATCTTACTTTTGATTCCAGAATCTAATAACCGCATGTCGAGAGCTTTTCAAAATACTATAATAAAGTTATTTTTTATTGAGTACTTTTCGAATTATTATGATGCTTGAAAGTTACATATCACCGGCATTACCGAGTTGTCCGACCGATGAGTAAATCCCTCTAATGTTGTTCAGGATCATGTCTGAATAACATCTGTTATGGATAACATCTGTTAAGAGTATTGGAGATTAGTTCTTTTATTTTTGCACTAAAAATTCATTTTTACGTAAAAATAAAAATAAGAAGTACAACCTCCAATGGTTTTGATCTTAACAAATGTTATCCAGGACAACATTCGAGAGGTTTTAGCCGTCGGTCGGATGGACACTTTGCATAATGCTAATGTTGCCGATACTATAATTTTTAAGCCTTTATAATTCGGAAAGTATGTAATAAAAAATAACTTTATTATAGTGTTTTGAAAAGCTTTTGACTCTAGCTTCTGCCATCAAAAGTAGGGTACTCCGTTTAAAAAAAATCGATTTGATTTTTAACCTGACCTTGGCGGCGCCACCCAAGATCAAACGGATGTATATAATCAGTAAATAGAATTTTTTAAACCCTACAATTGTGTCAACATTTTTCCACAAAATATTTTGCTTTCGAGATATTCGACCGTTTCCAGACTTTTGATACACTCTATATATGTAAAGTTAGTAAAATATATTAACGAAATCAAGAGATTATATATTATTGGAATATGAAATCCTCGTGTTAAGACAATTATAATATGAATGAATTAATTCAACTTACAATAACATTCTCAGGTAGCAAGGTATCATCTATTTTTAATTGGTCATTCTTAACATCTGATCCTATCATCGTGACGTGGATTTGCCACAGTCAACGTGATATTAACCAACGTCGAAAATATCATCATAAATAACGTTATTAATTGATCACCAATACGATGTCGATTAGTCATTTATTTGAATAAGTATGACGTTGTAAATACATCATAAATAAATGACGTCATTAATTGGTAAAAGAGATTATATCTTAAATAGATCACATGACGTCAATAGTTCAAAATGACTCAACTATCGACGTCAAAATGACTACAGTTTGCTACCTGGGTAGCATAAATACTCTGGTTTAACAGAGTATTTATTGAAAGCTTTCTAAGAAAGAATTTTCTGAGAATTTCTGGATCGTTCAGTTAACTTATTTTTCAAAATTCCAAATAAGATTAGAGAATTCTTAAATGCAAAAGAAACTTTAAAATAAATTGGAATAACAAACAAATTATATATTAAAACTGAGTAGAAGATAAGGTTTCTACGAGATTATTTATCAGTTTTTATAATTAAAGCTACGAAATGTATAGAATGAAGAAGACTCACTAGTAACATCAGTGAGTACTTTATTCTACTGTTGTCTGACTCTTCACCTATGTTGTTTGTACTTAATTTTTAAAATAAAATCTCGTGAAATATACAAAAATATATGTGAATGTATGTATAGATGTGTATGCCATACTTATGATTAATAAATTGTCACCATTTTGCATCATAAAAAAAAAGAAACAATGTTTCTAGAAACAGGATTTAAATTTAAACATAAAAATTAAAAATCTGCTGATAATGCTGTTAGATTTTTCTTTCATTATATGATACACATATTTTTAATTAATTCAGTTTAATAATTAATTTCGTAAAACTAAATTTATATTTTATTATTGTAAAAAAGATTAAACAAAAAGTAAGAGTAAAATAATCAATTCCTTCTACCTAAAATTTCTTTTTATTTCATGATTATTTTTAAATAGACTAATGATCATCTTTACATTTACGTTTATAAATTAGAATCATATTAAAACAAAATATCAAAAAATATATATAAAACTAGAAACTTGTCCGCGGAATGTTAATATTGCACCCGTAAGATAATTATTAAAACTTTTAGAAGATACATGCACAGATGCATGGCCAGCATGATTAAACAATGCTAGGATATCCAGTGTTTCTATATTTAAATAAGTTATTCAGTTGGACGATACCAGTTTAAAAATAAATATGCAAAGATCATCTATTGTAACTTTTGTTTTACTTCATCAGGTATTCGACTTAAATACCATTGATGTGACTGGCCAGGAGCAGTGGCCAATATGCCTCTCGTATTTACATGCGTCGTTTCTTGATTGTAAGAATAGCGATCACCATGCAGATCAGTTAAAACACCACCGATTGCATGAAGCACAGCTTCGGGCGCACAAGTGTCCCATCTTTTGCATCCGCGACTGGCAAACACGTACGCGTGAGCTTTTCCTTCCAACAGAAGAATTACCTGCGAACACACAATATCTCGATTTGAAGATTAAGAATATTAATAAGTATAATTATAAATTACTGTTAGGTATTATTAAGAGCAGAATTATGACGCAGTTATTCGAGCGTTATATATAAAAATTGAAAAAACGTTCGATTTTGTATTAATACATGTGTAAGGTCTATGAAATACAATTTTTAATTATATATACGTTCGAATAACTGCACAATTCTGCTCTCAGTTGCCTGACAGTAATTTATACGTATACTTATTATCTTGAGAGCTCAATTTTATCTTATTTGAATTGATTAAGAATACTTGATTAAGAATATGTTTATGAAATAATAATTTCGGAGAGCGTGTACAATTAGCGAAAACCATGAACAATCGTTCTTGCTATTACCTTATGTCCAGCACCGCCGACGCGTGTCACTTCGTCAGGATCCAAACATTTTATGGCGCTTTGGACAATATTATCAGAATGCGAACTGAAAACGGACAATATAATATATTCAATATAGTATAATGTTAAAATATAAATATTAAAATCGTTAGTTATATACCGAGTGGTTGTGATTATTCTCTTTCCCTCTGGAGGCGGTTTCGGTGTAAATCCTCCGAATCCTGCGCCATTAATACCCCATAATGTACGACCGTTTTCAATGTACGTGTCATTTTCCTCATTCTTGTAATAAGGTTGATGTATAACACCTCCAATTGCTGTTTCACCGATTGCCACACCAACTAATACTGTAACATGTTCCACTAATCCTTGCGTGTACTCCGCTGTACCTATAATGCAAATTCTTTTATAACAATTATCGATTGGTGTTTCGAAATATTTATACAATGATGTACATTTAAAACAAATTAAAAGTGCAAACATATCTTATTTATCATACAGGAATTTTTTTATTGTCAAATTAAGATGTCAATACCATCTAGAGGATCTACCCAGATGCACACATCTTTAGGATTAACATCCTCTAGGTGAGTCGGTAATTTTAATTGCAACACTTCTTGATTTGCTTCTGTGATGATCCATTCTGATGGTACCTCACAGTTAGATGGTTCTTCTTCACCGATAATCATAATATTTGGGAACTGACGACTGAGCGAAGTTATAATACATCGTTGGGCGCAACGATCTGCCTCCGTTTGCAGATCATTTTTGCCTTTTTCCACAATATTTAATCCACCTTTGCTTAAAATATCTCGGATTATTTTACCGGCTTGTATCGTGGCTGATACAGAGGATGCCACTATGCGTGTCAGCAAAGCAGCACTTTGAGCCATTTTTAGAATCCTTGTAGAGATGATAATGGCAATGATACTAATGTTACCGATAAGTTATCTTCGTTTCTAAGATATCTAAAAATATATAAGATGTATGCCTTTCATATTTATAAAAGTCATATACATGCATACATGTGTGTGTGCGTGCGCGCGCGCGCGCGCGCGTGTGTGTGTGTGTAGATAATTGTAGAATAAATGTTCAAGAAATATAATATGTAAGTACTGCTTAAAATTTATAGCATATTTATTTATTTTATGCCAATTGCACATAGTATGTACATTTATTAGTCATTTAACTTATAACTAACGATTGTTAACTTACGATTTTTGACTTAACGATTATTTTTAGATATGACAATGAGAAAACATCGCGTACCATATATAATGCGTCAAAAAGTAAGATTAGGTTAGATATGGTTAAGTTAGGTTTATTTATGACAGCTTGTGACAGGCATGTGTAGAAGCATGTTGTGCACTGCAATTGATTGAAATGCAACAAACTGGAAGAAATCTATTAATCTGCTAAAAAATTTAGTAAGCTTATATGAAAAGTCTTACTTAAAAGGAGAAAAATTTATAAGTTTAAGGTATTGTATTTGAACACTGTTCTTTAAGATTACTGTTTTTTGTTTTATGCAGATCGAATATAAAATGTTATATACACAAAAGCTTTTTATCTGTAATATAACTTCCTGGTTATCAAGAAGGACTAGACATATCATAAATGTATATTGTTCAACATTGACCAATGGCAATTTACCTAAACAACAGAAGGAGAATATTGATATTCGAGAGATGGAGGAACTGATTGAAATAAAAACAGAATTACCGAAAATGAAAAAGAAAAACAAAGCAATGGAATATATCGAAAAGTCTATATCATGTGATGAAGAGATTTTGGACATTATAAAAAAAGTTAATCCAGACACAAGTGATATCATTCAATTATTGACAGATAAAAATATATTATTAGAAAAAGCGCAAATAACTAAATTACTACTGATTGATAAAGATACTGCTGCAAAATATGTCTCTTTGATCAAAAATGACCTTTTGAAGAATACGTGTTACATTGCTGAATTGAATCCTGGTTTTGGCATATTGACAAGAGAATTATTGAAAGCTGGGGTACCACTAATTCACTTGTATGAAAATAATTTAAAATTACATGACATACTGAAAATAATCTGTACAAAATATCCTGGAAAACTAAAACTGATCTTTAATAAATATTATACTCTCTTTGGAAACAAAAAAACGTTTTATATTAAGAACGATATTAAGAAATATCAAGATAATTTTCAAGAGATAAAGAGCAAAAACTGGGAAGATGAAACTTGCATGCAAATAATAGGTGCATGTGATGATATTAATATATTTAGCTTTATTATACATAATACCATTTTTCGCATTGGTTTTATGTTTTATGGAAGGCCTGTCTTCTACATCGCGGTATCTCCATCTGTGTGGCATGTTAGTATAAGTTTTTTTTTTAGGAGTATACTTAATAAAATTACACTAATATTTTGTTTTAATATGTTTTAGAACTATAATATTTGTAATAATTTATTAACATATACCTATACAAAGGTAATGTTTAAATTAATGTTTAATTTTGAACTCCTGGGAACATTGAACAGGAAAGCTTTTATACCTTGGCCGCAAAAGAAACAATATAAACGTAATACAAGTAATTTGTTAGCAAAACAAAATTACGAGCAGTTATATGTAATAAAACTTGAGCCCAAAGCTGACATTTACACACAATTATCGCCAAAAGATTGGATAACATTTTCCTATTTTGTGAGACACTTCATGCACACACGTCGTACTAGAGTGATACCTGCATTGGAGTAAGTATGAAAAAAATTATAAGGTTTCTGTCAAATATTGTTTATTTTAGAGAATTTTAAATACATTTTCCTTTATAATTATATATTGTTTTGCCTTTAGAAAATGGGTACCAGACTGTGGAATTAAACTCATAGCCAAAGATTACACGATATATACACAATTTGGAGACTTGACGCCAACACAAATTCTAGAACTCTTTAAAGAATTTAAATCCTGGTCAGATTACAAATACAGCCATTTCATAGATTCTATGAATAATTCTGTAGGTGCACATAACGAATTCGAATTTCTTAAATAATCCTGTAACACATTTCTTATAAATATATAATTGTAAATAAGTCATCTTTTAACATTTTTAAATATTCCAGAAAGTTTTAGCTCTTTCCTCTTTACTATTTTATTGTGAGCAATTTAATCATCTCAGATTATAATTATAAATCATATTTTCTTGGAAATTCCTCCTCTCCTCTTCTTCAATTCCTATATACATAAATAGCTTTCTCAGATTACTCTTATGCATATGTAAGAACTTGCCAATGTATTAGTGAAAAAGATTATCACTCTGGTCAGTATACTCTTTCATTTTCTTTTATGTCACAGTGGTTAGCCTTGAAATATCAGTTGCCGTTACATCGCTCAGTGTAATTGCGCGTATGCATTCGAGAGAATCTTAAAACATCTTTGTCAAATTCACAAATCCTTGGTTGTTACTAATATCAATGTGATATTTCTATTTTATTCTTCTTTTTTTGCCAGGAAGGAACAGCGTATTGCTAAGAATTGTAAGAAATCTATTCATTTTAATATTGAAAGTATCAATCCGAACTAGAATGCAGTTGTTAGTGCATAATTAGATATCGTTAATAATTATTCAGATTTGTAATAGGCTTTTTTTTAGAGCACGATATATCTATCTTATTGATATATCCGTCTTTTAGTTTGCCAGTGAAAGGAATCGGAAATGTTTGAAAATGGAAACGTTTTGATTTTTTACTGTCATGATTTGATCAGTTATTAGTAATATTTATTCTCTTTGCATTCTGGCTTTAATTGATTTTTGTACATTAAAAAATATTTTCTATTTTCTCCATTTACTTAACATTTGTAGATATGTGTACAATTTTCTCAGCGATCTTGTTCAATATCGTCAAGATGAAGTATTTGTATGTCGGTTTTATATTTTTCGTATGTAACCATGTGACATGGAGTCAGGATTTAGCATTTCCAACTGATGAGGAGACGTCTCACGTCAGTGGTGGCAACTCCACGGTAATATTAATATAAAATTATATAAAAAGCGCACTATTTTTCCTTACATATCTTCGCAGATAATAGATGACCGTATACCCATATCAATACCAGGACGTTGCCCAAAAGACATGCTTCTCTATCCAGGCGACAGTGCGAAGGATGCTTGGGTGTGCGATTGTAGACCTCGATTCTTATATTTCCCGTTGAACAATTCTTGTTACGAAGCCTACAGACAAGGTCCTTGTCCGCTCAAGAATTATGTTGTTCTTCCTGAAGATGATGCGGTCCCTCGTTGTGTGGAGAATCCTTGCTTGAAAGATGGCGAGGTTCCATTCAATGGCACATGCTATCCTCTTCGAACAATAGGCGGTCCATGTGCGCCTGATGGGGTAATAGGTGTGAACGAAACTACTTTCCAATTGGAATGTGTAAAAACAGATATTGCACCTTTCATAATAATTGACCCTCCCTCAAGGACATGTCCACCAGGTAGTCGTAGAAGCACACTCGGAGTATGCAAAAAAGTATGAATACATAAGTATTGTAATTCAGTTTGTCACATGTTCTCTATTTCGATGCCTTATATATTTTACATAATTCAACTTATATATATTTCATGTGAGAAATATTGCAATGTCATATATACTTCGTCTTCCAGGTTAAACATTATAATAGAGTACGTCGGACTGTATCAGGATAATTTTGATAAATGTGTATTTTGTATTGTAACTTATATACAAAATTACACGTGATCGTTATAATAGGTACACTTAAAGAGCGTTAAATAACAAAATGTAGGCATCAATAACAAGTATCTTATTTTATATTCGTAATTTTAATAATCTGATGGTCTATTATAAATTATACATGCATATAAATAAATATATATATATATATATATATATATGTGTGTGTATATGTATACTATATAACTGAATCAGAAAAATATAAAAGAAGCAATTGTTATATTGTTATATCTTTTATTACTTATGTTTTTATAACTATATATTTACATTTGTTTATTATAATTGGAAATATATACATTGCTGACACAATTTTTTAAATAAAAATCTTATATATCTAAACTTGGAAAAAATCGGCTAAACAACGACATATACAAAACTTACAATTCATAACTGAAATTTTAATAATATATTCCTGACTTAATAAAGTGACAATCCTAATATTAAAATGTCAAGGCTATAATAGTTTTTAAATTAATAGCGATTAAAGTTAATTATCTAACTAATAAAGTTAACTATCACAGAGCTGATATTTCATGCGCTCAGGGACATCGCATAAGCAGATGTTTGTACACCTATGTTCACTCCATGTGAGTTTTAAGTAATAACATATAATAAATATATAATAATGTAGAAATACTTCATCAATCATGTTTAAACATAGAAAATAATTACATATGCAACGTACATAACAAAAATATTATGGGATATTAAAAATAATAAATATGTATAACAAATTATTTTAAATATGTGTAATGAATTAATTTAAAAACTGTTATAGCCTCGACATTTTGATATTAGAATTTTATTTTATTTTTAAGTCAGGAATACGTTATTACAATTTCGGT